AAGGTTTTAAAAGAACTTTTGACAGTGTTGGTACGTAATTTATGGACGCATGGCTCACACATCCTTTAAACAAAAATCAAAAATCAAAAAACAAAAATCAAATAACCGATTATAACAACAACAATAATAAATAATATTATGAATATACCTATGATCACAAGGTTTTAAAATAACATTCCCATTGATACATGGAATACAATCATATCGCATTGGGATTGGTTGTTCACGTTTTACTATTCTTTCTAGACGAGAGGCAGCGTTTGGTGGTCTAATCGGATGTGGGCTGAATAAATATGGTTGAGAAATGGAAGTACAAGGTTGAAATTTCTTATTATTGCTATTATTATTGCTGGCAGTTGACGGTGAGAAGATTTTATCATAAACTGATGCGATTGATGGGTTTTGGCTAGCACCTTTAGTAGTTTTATCATCCGATGACTCCTTTGTCTTTTAATCAATCAATCAAAATCAATTAAAATCCCTAATTATTTTTAATTGATTGGAAATTTTATTTTTTTGTAAAGATTACCAATGAATCTTCGGAGGTAATTGTTGATGTAGTTTGATCACTAGATTGACTGGAATGGCCAGATGATGAAGAAATATCAGAATTAGTAGGACTAACTTTGTCCTCGGTATTTTTTTTTGGTTGTTTCGGATTTGGCGTTTGGGTGATTGACGCTTTTTAATCATTATTACAATTTGAACAAAATAATTATTAGTCAATTATATCTTAATTATACTTAGAAATTATCAACCTTTTTCAAACTTTTTGACTGAATCATCATCAGTTTGCTTGTCATCAGCAATTTCAACAGATTTAATTTCGATGGAAGTCATATTTTATCAAAGCAAATAAATTATTTGGAGGTGACTTACTGACCTCTCTGCTGCCATTTTAATTGTGGCAGGATATATCTATCTAATGGCAGTGGCAACAATGGTGACTTTCTGATTAGCTATAGAGAGGATTTGGATCTTCCTGGTTTAGTATAACAAGATTTAAAAAAAAAGATATTAATAAAATCAAATATTCACTATGCCTAAATTTTGTTTTAAATTATTTAATTGATGTAAAATTTTATACAGTATTTCCAATTTTATTTTACAAGTGTAAATTTATATAAAAATAAAAACAAAAATCATTCTTTAACAACAATGATTGTTAATTTTTAAAATTTCAACAAAAAGGGCACCCTTCTGTTAATTTATATTTGGCATCATAACACGGAACTATATTTATATGCGCACAATCAGGATATTTTATACGTGTTTCAGTTCTGCAAAGTTGTGTACACCATGGTGAAGAACAAGACTCTTTACACTGATATTTTTAATATAATATAAATTTATTAATGACTTATTAGGGAGAAAAAAGAGAAATTTATTAATACTAATAAAAAATAACTAACCCGATGACCACATGACAATTTCTTTTCACATATTTCACTACATTCGTATTTACTCAAGTCTTGGCCAATATGACATTTAACTTCTTTTTGATGACCACATCGAGGATTTATAACTATTTTAGTTTCACACTTGCCACAAGTATCTTTACATTCTTTATCACATGGATGACCACAAGGAAATATACGAATACATTTTTCCTATTATATTGTGTGCACATATATATATATATATATTAAAAAATATTTTGATATCAAAGTATAAAAATATTCATGTTTGTTTAATTTAAAATAGTTACATACTCGACATTTAAATTTATCATGAGAATAAGTATGACAATCCTTAGGACATAACTATCAAAAAATAGAATATATATTAATTACTTCATTGCAATTATGATTATTACTATTATTATGAATATTTTGTATTAAACTTACATGTCCACATTCCATGAACTCACCACACTTTTGTTTACAGCCTCCTTCTGATGGTATACTAGCCTCCCACTCAACATTAATTACCACCATTCCTGATGGACCAAGTTCTGGTTTTGAATGTTTCTGGCAATATAAATCAATTGATTGATCACATAACCCCTTTTTTTCAAGTATCTTTATTATATCTTTCCATAAATTAGAGTTCGTTGATAATTGTGTTGCATTTCCAAATATGTACATTCCACGTTTTGCTCTAGAGAGTGCAACACAAACTAATGTAATCAAAAATTTAAATAAATATATAATTGATAGCTGTTGTTTTATAAGGTTTTGATTTAAAAAGTTTATCAACTAACCTCTATTGCTGACACTTAAGAAACCTATATTACTTTTTGGTTCACGACTTCTTACAAGTGACAAAATTATCACATCATTCTCTTCACCTTGGAAACCATCTACTGAGCTGACCCTTATACTTTTTATTTCATTTGAAAAGTATGTCATTTTTGCATTTGCATTCAAGTACTGTTGTATCAATTTTCTTTGACCAGAATACATACTTAAAATAGTTCTGTTTTTTTTTTAATAAAGTATGTTAAAAAGGATTGTTAAAATGATTGATAATTGCTAATAAAAATAATAACCAAAGTTGTATGAATCTAACTACATTTTTGAACAATCAAATCCTCCATTAACAAGATAAACAGCAAGCTTAGCACTCATTTTAGCTTCAAACTCATTGATCCTACTTTTAGATTCTTTTACCATAGATTCCTCCTCTTGATGATCAAAAAAGAAGAGGTCCTCAAAAAAACCTGGTACATTATGGTATTCCGATACAGATGGATGGTCCTTTAGAACATCTCCATAAATAGGAGTCAAAAGTTCTCTAATTTCAGGTCTCATTCTACGTTGTTGGGTAAGTTTTGTAAAAGGTAATTCATTTTCTATTAGTCGTTCAAATAGAGAAACATTGAGACACTAAATGTAACAAAAAAAAAAAGATAATAATAATCAATATATTATTTAGATTTATCAAAATCAAAATTAATAAACAGGTAAAATACAAACGTGATCTTCTGCAAGTTCATGGACAGCTGTATTTGGTCTAAGCTGCTTATGATCACTAAATTTAAATAAATATAATTATGTGGTGTATGTATTTTTAAGAATAAATTTAAAAAAATTAAAAACCCTTAAATAATATTTAATACACACCCAATTAAAATTAAATGTTCAGTTGCTGGTGTAAGTGCACTGATTATATGTGCTTCAAGTGTTTCGGCAGCTTCTTCAATAATAATAATTTTAGGTTTCAAATTAACGAGTAAATCATGGTATTTAGCCTTTAAAAATAATCAAAAATATGATTTTTAATCATAATATATATGTGTGTGTGTGTGTGTGTGAATAATAATAAAAATATACCGCAGCTGTGGTTGTCATACCAACAACTCTAGCACGTTTTAGGATTAGTAAATCTTCACGAATTCTCTCATTTTTAATTTTTTCTGAAATTTCAAGATATTCATTGCTCTTTTGTTTAAGTTCTACTATCACTTCCTTCAAACGTTCACTTCTCCAACGATTATGCATAGCAGCTCGAACATGAGCTGGGATTGCAAATAGATCATCAACAGATGAATATCTTTCCAATTCAGCATCACTCACTTGAGTGTTAGAACTAACATAACTTTCACTTCTCAAGTTAACATATTTGCCATTTATTGTTTGATTACCATCGATACCTCGAAAATCTGCTTCAATATCTTTATAAGTCTCTTCATCTATCTCATCTTCTTCTTCATCAATTTTTTGTTGGCCTTCTTGAATTATCTGAGACACTTGAAAAGAAGCATCATTATGAGCTGCATGATGTGTAACTAAGGAGCTTTCTAACCATTCACGAAGATAATCACGATCATTATCATTTGTTGTCGAACTACTAGTCACCCAATCATCTCCCTCTAAACTAGAAATTTGTGCCGGAGTAAGAAATTTCTTTTCTTTAACAAATTCCAAGGTAAGACATGGGCTGCCTATTTCCTTGCATAATTTTTCCATCCTAGATTCTAACTTGTGTTTTTCTTTAAATAATGCATTTATATCTGGATTTCTGGGTGACAATTCATCTGAAGCTTTAACATCTTGTCTAATATTGTATAAAGTACATGGTTTTATGTGTGTAGATGTAGATCTTGATCCTAAACGAACTATCTTAGACTCAAATTTCTGAATACCTATTTTTATGAAAGTATTAAATAATTAATTAAAACGTAAATATAAATAAATACTTGTATTAACTGTGAACAAAACAATTGATCAACCAAATATATTCACCTTCAAGGAATTGATCCAATGCATGATTTGTTTGACAAGAAACAACTATGGTTCCAGATAAATTTTCCAACAGAATCCTTACTGCAGCCAAACCAACATATGTCTTGCCTGTACCAGGCGGTCCTTGAACCAAAGCTAATCTAGAAGTAAGCATCCGTTCTAATGCTTCATATTGAGACTTGTGTAGCCCACAATTTATTTTTTCTAAAGGAGGCCAAGATTCTAAAATATTAAACTAAAAGTAAACGAATGAATATAAATATAAATGTATTAATTTATAACAATAATAATTATAATAATATAAATTTACACTTGATTTTCCTAAGAACTTTTCAAGATTTTGGAATGTTGGTTCAGTTCCAAAATCATAATTTGGAGGAGCGCGATTTTCAAGGTATTTTGGAAGCTCAATATTCTTATCAAGGTCAATGATGTGTGATTTCAAAGGCATATCTTCTGGATCAAGCTCTTGAATTACCTTTAAGACATGCCTATATGCTACAAACAATTTTTTGAAATTAATCGATATGTTTGTAAAATTAAGATTTTTTCAAGTATAAATCTTACCTTCAAAATATGAAGTTGTCGATTCAACCTAACCATAATACAATCAATATAAAGAAATAATAAAAAATAGTATTTAATAATTAATTATTTAATTTAATTTAATTTAATTTAATTTGAAATATAATGATGTCATTAAAAAAAGGAACCATTGTATAATTCTCATCCCAAACGAAATCAACATCTTCTGATCTGAAGAGCACATCAATTTGTAAATCATGAGGCTTTTTTAAATATTCCAGAGACCTGTTAACAACAGTTGCAAGTTTTATTGTCTTAAATTTATCTTTGGTCAAAACAACCAGTGTTCCAGGAATTAATCTTTTGCTCTGCTCCCTAAATTAAATATTTTATATAAATTTTAAATGAGGTAATTCTGTTATAAAGAAACAAAATATATGTGATAAAATCCCAATGTCAAAGAGAACCACATGTTAATTATATATATTCTGTATTATGACAATCATTGTAACATAATATATTTTCGTACAAAATGGTAGGTATACATATATATACACATATATATAATAGAAAATTTTACGAAAAAGAATAACAAACATACCAATGAATTCTTTCACCAGGTCTAGTTCTAAAAGAAATTCGATGTAAAACACCGATACTAGAAAAGGTCACACCAACAAGATTTACCTATTTAAATATAATAATATAAGTAAGAGAAGTAGAAGTAGGAGAAGAAGTAAAGGTTGAAGAAGAAAAGAATAGTTGAACTTATTAAAATATAAATCCACATAAATTTTTAACATACATCAACATAAATTCGTAAATTCATTTGATCAACTTCTTCATCATTCTCATCATCTATATAAATTTGAATACCCTGTCTTAAAGGTCTAAGAAAATCTTCTCTTAATAATTTATAATGAGTTTCCAGATATTCTTCAATGTTTTCATAGGAACCTTTGGTTTTATTAACAGGAATATATTTTGGTCTAGGACCCAATAGTTCCTTTTGCGTTGGAAGTATGGATATTGCACGAAAACCTTCTTTTGGTGGTTTATTAATCTCAAGAAGTTCAGGTAAAACGGGTCCTCTGATTCTTCTGTCTACTACATTTCTTTTATATTGACCTCTTGAATCTTTTTCTGACAAACTTTTTTCAACTGGATCCTGATATATTGAAGAAAATTCATTTTGAGCTGATCTATTATTTAATCTTTGATTAGAATCAACACCCCTTTTGTAATTTGTTTGCTTTGGTGATTGAGAAACTGTTGTAGAATTTGGCATTACGTGTCGATATCGACAATTATCACCAAATTGACAACTTCCAGGATTTCCATTAAATCCTCTACAAGTTTTATCTTTATCTTGAGATTGTTTTTTACCATGTCCACGTTTCATCATTTTGAATTTTTTATATACAGAATTTTTTTGAAATTTTGTGCAGAGAAATATTACGGAAAAACTATATATTTATATATTTTATCGTCCAATCATATTTCTTGATCGACAGGTAAGAGATTAAACAAGCAAAGATTGAGAATTTAAAAAAAAAAATTTATTAAATAATAATATAAATTAAATTAAAGATGATGATAGATGGCTATGATTGATTAATTGATTGATTTCATTTTTTAAAGAAATTGAAAAGGCATCATTTGATTTTAAATTTAAAATTATATTTAAATCATTTAAAGCCTCGGAATAATTTTTAGATTTAATGTGTAATTTAACTCTAATTTTTAAAATATTTATATCATTTTGTTTCACATCCAAACATTTATTTAAAATCGTTATTAATTTGTTGATTTCTTCTGAACCTTTGATTTTTAAATAAAGAACTTCAACACGTATTAGGATCATGTTGATTAGATTTGGAATTATTCTCAAGGCCTTTTCGCAATCCAAAATTGATGCTTCGTTAATTCCTATAGTATAAAAAAGTTTTGCACGCTCGCACAGAATGAATAAATCATCACGACGATTTTTGTGTGATTTTAGTAATGTTAATGCGGCGTTGAAATCGACAATTGCTCTATTATTAAAACCTAATTTATTACATATTGCACCTCGATAACCGAGTGCATATATATTATGAGGATAATTGTCTAATGATCTATTTAAATCTCTTATAGCTTCAGTGTATCGTCCCATCATATATAACAAAGCACCTTTGATAGATAGGATAATTGGATCGTCAAATGAATATTCCAAAGCCTTGACATGATTAATCAATGCTAATTCATTAAAATAATTATTATTATTAAGATGACGATCTTTTGATGATCTTAGTGTTCCTAATCTTCGATAAATTTCCCCGCGTAAATAAAATGCTTGTGAACGTTTAGGTTTAAGCTTTATCGCAATATCAATATCTAACAAAGCAGAAAAATAATTTTTATGTGATAATAAATTTATAAAAGCTCGAATACATCTAATTGAATAGGTGTTTGGATAACATTTTAATAATCTTGTGCACCAATTCAGAGCTTCAGAATAATTGCGAGCACTTAAAGATTTATAAAGATTTTCTTGTGCGGGATGCTTTCTTTTTGGAAGTTTGAAAAATAAACAAACCCTTTTTAAATCTTTGTCAAACATATCTTGAATCAACTGGCTTTCGTCTGTTTCATTACTAGTAATAGTTTCTCGATTATCAAAATGATTTACGATGGTGTTATCAGTGGCAACAGCATTGTTATAGAAGTTGGGATTGTAGTTGTTAGTGTAAATAGATGGCGCCATTATCGTTGTATTTTCTAATGGAGGATCAAAGACTAACAAAGGTTCTTGATAAGTATTTGTATAATAAGAAGAACACATTGACTTTGATTTTTTTGTGATTGGTGGAAAGGGTGTTGATGTAGTGCCTATGAGACCAGAGGCGATGAAATAAACATGGAAATAAGAAAATATATGATATTGAGGTATATACATACAATTTTCGTCTTGAATAATGTGACGACACTGAGGACATCGATATCTTGAGAATTTTTCGATGTTTTGAAATGTATCAATGCTGATTTTATGTTTACAACCTAAAATACACAAATCTTCTGATGGTTCCATTGTCACAGAGCAAGTAATTTCGTCAGCAATAATTTGTATTAAATTTTTATCATTTTTATTGATTATATTATTATTATTATCATTTTTATAGATTATATCACCATCATCACCATCATCATCATCGTCGTCATCACTTTCAAGATTGTTACTATTAATTGATAGGATCAAATTTTTTAAATTATCGAAAAACAATTCATTTAAATAATCATCATCATTTTGATATTCATGTTGTTTGATAGATGATAAAAATTGCTTGAAATTTATAACAAAATCCCGATTCTTTATAAAATTATGTAGATGATCTTCTAGATCTTGTTCGATGTTATTACTAAATAATTTGGACCGCTTGAGAGAAAGTTTCAATAAGATTTCTGACGATTTAAGCTTTATTGATAAACCGTTCGTGTTATTTAATGATTCTTTAAGATAATAATAAATAATTGTTAAAGTTGATTTACGTTCACTAAAAGTTGTTATTAATTCTTGATCTATTAAATCCAAAATACCAAACCATAATAAATTCTTTTTCTTTTTGTTTATTCTGGAAGAACAACTAAAATAATTCATCATAGATGTTGTTCTAGAAGTCGTTGATGAGAAAGTCCAAAGATTAAAATCAGTATACATCCAAATATATTCTAGCCATAACCTTTCACCAAATCTAAGTATACCGATATTTTCGGGTATACATGACAATCTTTTGATATAAAACCTTAATCCTACTAATAAATAATAATCTAAAAACCAACTAGAAACTTTTGTTTTGTTAAAATGTTTATTAGCTTTTGTTCTTAATTCATTCCACGATAATCTCGTGTACGAATTTTGCAAATTCGTCACATTATTGTTGTTGTTATTGTTGTTATTGTTGTTGTTATTGTTGTTGTTGTTAATATTATTGCTACCAGTATTATTATGTTTTTTTATTGATTTCAATAAATTCTTTAGAAAATTTTCTATTTCTAAATTTACTCGAACAAATTGTAAGCCATTGCCATCACAATCACACTCGGAATCATCATTAGTATTATTAAAGATTTTTAATATATTATTCAAATAACTAAATAAAAATTTTAAATGATATTTTAAAAAAGTTTCACGAGTAAATTTAGTGGTGGTAGAAGGTGGAGAAGGTGGAGAAGAAGAGGAAGGAAAGGGGGAGTCGTGGTGGTGATAACTGTAAGAATTATTACGATTATAGCTATGATAAAAAGAATTAACGGGGAAAATGTGAATTGAAGACGATTCAGTTGGTGAAGATGAATCTGTTGAAAATAAGCTAACTTCATCAGCCCAAGAAATTTCTTTTAAAAAATCTTTATATTGTGATTTGAACTTTTGTACTTGTAAAAAAATTGTGTTGAAACAATTTTTTGTTTTTGTTTTCGTAGAGAAAGATGATGACACAAATAATGTAATTGAATCTTTATTGAAAATTATCGATTCTAATAAATTTATTAAAACACGAACACGTGATTCCAGTAATTCCAAGTCGAAATTTTTTGATGGTGGAATTGGAGCAGTTAACGTATCGATAATTCGAAATAATAAAGATTTTTTTTTCAACGTTAAAATCATCAATAATAACTTTTTATCATCTTCATCCAAAACATGTCTTCTCAGCATTTCATTGAATAGAAAGAGATTGGTTATATGCGAATCATTATTTCTCAAATTATTTATTTTCTCAATATAATAATCTTTAATAATTCTATGATATGGACTGCAGCAGATATTATTGAATAATTTTTGACAAGACAATAAACGAGTTTTTTGTTGATTCAACGAAGCAATATTTTGGTTTTCCTTGTTGAGATTACGATTATGATTAATTTGTTGTTGATGATGTTGTCGATTACTTTGATTATTGTTGGTATTAGTAATAGAATTAGTATTATTAGTATTAGGTGTGTTAAATTTTTGTTGATTTTGTAAGTCGACTTGAAATTTTGATGAATTTTCAATATTTTTGTTATTACTCATGTTTGATTTGTTATTTTCGTTATTTCCCTAAACGATTGATTATATTGGGTGTTTTATTATAATTATTTATTTTTCCAAAAAAAAAAACTTATTTTTATTTATATAAAAAAAACATTACAAACGACAAATGATAATAAATAAATAATTAAAACGTAATATTTATTTGATTAGAAATTTTGAAAATGACGTTAAAAAATTTTTTACAATAAAGTGGACACAGTGAACATGACGTAAGGTTCTACAACCAGAATAATGTTATTAGTATTAGTATTAGTGTTAGCATCATTTGGTATTAGTCCGTAAAGGCGTTAAAATCCTAATTTAGTAATAATTGTCTTGACTTAACATATTGATATTAATATGACTAAATAGTTTAGTCAGTTTAGCCAAGTGCTCATCTGAGTTACGCGGCCAGCCCTGGTATTAGTATTAGTATTAGAATAATATTGCAGATCACGTTACACTTCGGGTAAAATTCCCATCAATGTATCTTTTTCAATAGTGCCACCACCAACACTATAAATTTTTCTTGACACCGCGATAGTAATAAAAAAAATAGCAATACATTGACTTAAATTTATAAAGCATTAAATAAATAAAATGCATCGCCTAATGAAAATGTCTTGACAAGTGGAAATAAGCCCTTGATATTTTTGTTGAATATTAATCCCAAGCCTCCTTCCCGTGTTTATCCAAGTGATAATGGATAATGGGAAAGTTTTTGATGGTCAAGTGAGCCTATTTCCTTTTCTGGAGCTTAAAAACCAATTCCCATATTAAGTCTGATATGTAATAGTAATTTCACGGGAAAACCAAAGATATCTGCTTATCACGCGGAGCTGTGATAATAATGAGATCGACGCTGATCGTGGAATAACTGACTTTATCTCACGATTTCCTAATTAATTAACACTATAATAATAAATTCAAACGTGGAATAATTTGATATTTCATGGATTGAAAATATTGAGCTTGTTATACTGCAAACGATTGCTGTATTATGAGATTAATTTTTCCTACATAAGAAGATCTCACTCTAAATCCTGGATCCTTTACATCTCTTTTTCCTTGCCGCAATTTTTTTTTGAACTTGATTCCACAATTTCAGTAATGTTTTTGGAATAATTTCTGGGATTTTGAGTTCTTTATTAACGTAAGAATAAAACAAATTTAATTTCGTGCAATGTTTTTTTCGTTTAAAAAGAGAAATTTTTTAAAAAAGGAAGTTTATGTGTATTTTTCACCCAATCCATGGATCTGAGTAGGATTATATATTAATAATATCCTGTCTCAAATATTAAGGATCAACCTACAAAGTTCCACCACCATTATCAAACAAAATCTGGGTCCCTCAAAGATCAGATATTAACCATCAGAACTAAAGATGGGAACCGCAATTAGCCGCAATTCAATTTTCATATCAATATGCCGCAACCGCAATTCAATTTTTACGTGTCGCAATTAATTGAGGGGCCATATTTAGTCTCATATACTAAATAAAATATTACATATAATCGGTGTTATTAAACATTAATATATCAACACAAGCAGTAGTTTCAGGAATCAAAACTTCGATCATGAGATACTCAAAAAAAACACAACTTGTATGGTGCGTAAAGATCCTCTGGGAGTATAATATAACTTGAATACATGTGCCTCAATCCTGAATAAAAAGATTTTGATCGAACTTTAATTTTGTGTCATTCTTGAAAAAGTGCGTTCCACACTTTGGCCCTAAATTACCAAGTAAAAGTTTCTCTGCGGGTAAAAAAATAACTCGAACACGTGTGTTTTAAACTCAGTCAATAGATTTTGTTTGAACCCGTCATGATCTTTTTTATGCATCAAATAGAAATCCAATTTGCAAATCAGGTCACGTTAAAATTCGATTATCTGGAACTAAAGAAAAAAGTAAAGCCTAAAAATTCAACAAATCGGATTGAGCCAGATCAGCCAATAAGCATAAGTTTATTTATTGTACTTTTAGGGATATTGAGTAAAATCATGATCACATTATTGGACTGCTTACGACTGGTCACTAAATTTTTGATCCCCAAAATTTCCTTGTGACATAATGTTCAAGTATATTAGTCGCGGGACATTGCAGATCAAGTGTCATTCAATATAAACGTTACACAAATAAAATTATTATCGTCCACTTC